CGAGTCAAGTGAGCATGTCTGTGTGCTCTCACTCTCACTCTCTCTCCCAGCCTCGCTGCTCTGCCTCTGCCTCGTCACATCAGAAGAAAAATGCAGAAGTCCTTCGGGACATCCGTTAAAATTGGAACGATACAGAGAAGATTAACATGGCCCCTGCGCAAGGATGACACACATAAATCCAGAAATGGTCCAAATTTTCGGGGAAAAAAAAGAGAAGAAAAATGCAGAAAACTCGGGAGTGCAACTGTGCCAGCCACTGCACTCCTTCCTCTAGCAGAGCCAAATTAGTCAACAGCAGTCCCAGCACCCACAGGGCATAAGGAAGACTCGGCATGTCGAGGTCAAAGATTTCAGTACCCATTTAATGGACGAGGTGATCGGGATGGCGAGTTCGAGTTACTCCTCCGCCGTTTGTACATAGGAGAGTGAGAACGGTTACGATTCCTGTTGTCCATTGGTGGACCTGCACAATTACCACCAGTCAAGCTTCAGAAGATAGGACTCCACCACTCCTGCCACCACAGTTCCATTTGCAGTTGGCATGTATCACCCAACAAACGAATGCTCATCCATAGAATCCTAAGAATATGCAGAATAGACGTGCCGACGCAACCAACGAGCATAGCTTACTTGGTACACCCAAGAACTGTTGAAATACAGACCCAAGTTCGCATCCACATGGTGATGGGAATCAGATGAATGAAACAATATTTGAATTTATATTTCTGAATTACGTGGGGCCGGTCAGCTCAATGACGATATCTCAAGGCCATCGTCCTTTTGTAAAAAAAAAGAAAAAAGAAAAAAGATGTACTGACACATGAATGAGCAAACAAGCAAAACGAACAGGACCATCGGCGCAGGCACATTAGCAGCCACGGGACATGATAGGCCGCCAAAAAATAGGATCCATGTGTTGACTGTCAAGCCACAGCAGCATGTATGCTGGGAGAGCATGAGCCAACACCCTTCTGGATAGAGCGAGCTCCCCGCAAAAGTTTCAACCCTCACAGCACGTTTGAGAAGACTTCACACTTCAAAAGACGCATAGTACCTTAAAACAAAAAGGCTAGAAAGCTCCGGTCACCACTCCCCACTCCCTTCTCCGCTTGCAAGTCCAAATTCACCCCTCCAGGTCCCCCTCTTTTACCCCCTGCATCAGACTCAGAGATGCAGATAACTGTGTGCAACCAAATAATATCAACTAATTATCAATCTAGTAGACCTGGCCCCACCACTCACTTAGCACGTCAGGGAACCAGGACATAATGCCACAACCTGACAGGCTCCCCACATGCTTCCTGACCAGCCATGTCAAAGCCGCTGAGTAGCTTAACTCTCACCTCTACGCATTGGAGGTGGTCTTCCTGGAGAAGCTGGACCACGAGCATGTGGAGAAGCTGCACCACGAGCATGTGGAGAAGCTGGACCACGAGCATGTGGAGAAGGTCTACGCCTATACACATTCCTGGGTGGTGATGCAGGCCTCCTCAACCGGTCCCACACTTGTCCTTGACCCTCTCCCATGTACCGCCTCTCTGTAGTCATTGACATCCATCCAACACGCTTCCATTGTTAGTACTCCAGAACATATCAACATCGAACCTTGCGTTGCAGTTGAGCTAAAACTGTCTTTCCCGTTCTATGTTGCTGGTTCCTTTGGGAAAACTTGGCTAGATTGCTGCAACTCCAACTCTTGGACACACGGCAAAAGCACAGAGAATGTTTGAAATTATCAAAAACAACTTCCAGACCACGTATGAGCCTGCCGCAAATGCTTAGTCAACGTCATTGGCCGCAACATTGTTCATGCACCAGGTATTCCTCTGTGCTGTACGGAATATAAGGAGGTGAACAATACATAGCTGCACACGCTTGCAAGCTCATCAAGCCAGCTCGGGAACTGAAGAAAAAGCAGTGTTCAATAACCAAAATGTTCAGTCTTCAGACCAGCAATGTGGCAGAAAGCCAGTCAAAAAATGCAGGCCATGTTTCTGATCATCACCGTTGTTCCCAACAATTCTTAGTTCTTCCTCTCCGTGCGCAAATGAACAGTTTGTCCGGTCGCAATTCCCTTGTTGGAAAGCTCTGCATATCCTAGTCTTGAACAAGTCTCCATAGTGTGCCATCTTTTGGATAATGTGTGGAGTACCTGGAAACAAGGCCCCACAAAAGAGGACAGACGGTGAGAATTTAACAAAAGCTTATGCCATAAGACTGCATGATCTGATGCATGCACTGCCAAGTCATCACTGGCAGCATAAATAACAGGGAGGCGATCAAGTGATGAGGGTGGCCTCCTTGATGAAGCACAGAAGAAGTGAAAGGGAGAACAATAAGGAGAACAAGATGAAGCCAGATTCGGACTGCAGAGCTCTAGAACCACCGAAATGAATGTTTCCTGCGGAAGTTCCTGGGGCAAAAGTGGGTGAATACATTTAGCTGTGGGATCACTGGGATGTACTCAGAATTTAATGAACACTAATGTCAGCAATTTGATAAAAAGAAAGCATTTGCCAGACACCAGGTACAGCATCAGCTAATATATACCTTATCATAGGCCTGTCATGAGATTTACGTTTGCACCGTCTGAAAATCTAGGCTTCGAGGTGAAAAACTTGGATATTGGCCAGGCAGCCCTGGCCCCATCTCATTGCTCAGCTAACGGCCAAGCCCAGCAAGGCAGCGGCCAGGCAAGGTGCCAGACATCAGGAGTGCCCAAAAAAAAAAAAAAAAAAAAAAAAGAACAGAAGTCCTGCATGGAACTCGTAGACAAGAGACTGGAACCGCAAGCACATTGAGCTCTCATATACATTATTATACAACCATTGACACAGAGCCAAAGCATGGAGTCAAAATGACAATGCGCTTATCACATATGTGAAAGCTCTTCCACTTGAAGCTGCCTTTCATATTTAATCACCTACTTGGCGCCTTTCATACTCTGTCAGTGATATGCCTTAGCCATGGTTCGTCTTGCAGCTTAGGTTTTGGCCGTTGCCCATGTCCTTTCTGTCCAGGAACCGGGACATATTTCCGTTCCGCAGTTTGATCAAATATCGTAGTACCCCTCATAGAATGTGGTATGACGAGTCTATGTGAGGGCATCGGCCAGTAAGTCACATAGGGTATCAGTTTCAACGCGCATGGAAAACAGGATATACACAAATATGAGGGGGAGCATCAATCACAGAGGTAGGACCATCAGGGCCAATACCTGCAACATTCATCACAGCCCAAGGTCCATAATCAAGAGGCAGTAACTTCTGCTCTGGGTTGAATTCTGGTATCTTTACCAAACCAGTCATTCTACCTGAAACACACAATGGTGTCATGCCCTGCTGAGATTTTCCAGGTCCTCTGCAGTCTTCTGCATGGTCTTCTCAATAATGGATGGTGAATTCTACAGAGTCCTAGGTGGTAAACCTCTAATCTTTTCAGGAAACAAAAAAATCAAGCATCTCTCCTGGTTTCCACCCAAGACGAGGTCAGTTAGGTGTCGTTCATGTAACTGGATGAATGACATTACTGTATACGCTAGCTACTTCAGGATCTGCTCATTGAAATCAAGTTCGCTCGGGGTGATAAAATGTCGCAGTGACTGCTACACTGGCCTGTTCATTCGTTAAGCCTGTATATTTGTCTTAGCGCGATATCCTGAGGTCATGACCAACACTGTGCCCATGTCTCTTCATGAGACTTTGCAAGTGTTCACTCCTGACCCATACACCGATATCCACTCACAATAGTTCGGGCATGCCAAAGTTTGAAACCCACTCGCCAAAAAAGAACTATGACTAAGTTTGTCTTCTACTATTTCTGCACCAGAAGTGGTATCAATCTGCAATTTATGCAACCTAGTAGCAAGCACACATATGTGCCTATTTCCACTCCTACTGGCAATTAAAAGCATCCATGAAATCCATGGCAAATAGGGAGAGGCTTTGACAAGCCTAATCCAGATGTGGTTAACCAGGGGTGTTATTGTCGGCGAATTTTGCAACAAAACTGTCACATTGTGCTGATTTTTTGCTTTTTTTCTTGTTTTTCTTTTTGTGTGACATATATGTGCTTTAGGGTACGTCATGTGTCCAGCTTTGACATGTTTGGATCAATAATGAAAAAGTTGCCATTTCGTTGAATTCGTTGGACGCTTCATTTTAACTCGGACAGTGTTTTTGTGTTAGGTTTTATAGTGTTTTTCTTTTCGTTTTCTTTGGCCTGTTTCCTTTTTTAATATTTGCACTATGGGCCCATATCCTTTATTTTTAAAATTTTCACACCGAAATTGCCGGCGAAACTGGCGAATATTTGGCCCTCCGTTAACCATCTCTCGCCTAAAGGCACTTGAGCACAGGGCTTATCCAAGACGCAAACCTCGCCACTTTCTACATATCCATGTTCATATTGAGTTACAATTGGCCGCCAGAATTCCTATAACAGATTAGCATAAGTCTTCCTAAATCCCAAGTGTGTTTATCATGACATTTACCTAGAAATAGGCTCTTCACTGAGTCTACATTTGGATCACAGTCTCTCAAACCCATCCTTACTGAGAGTAACCCTTTGACAATCTGTACTACTCATTAATGACCTTATCGTTGTCCTGGAGGCCCACAAAGACCGCACTGAGTAAACAAACTATCCCCTGCATACAAACCAACAATCACACCTAGGCAGTCAGCTTCGGGTGAAAGTGCATCAGCAACCACATAGAACTTACCTTCGAGATGATTCAGTGTGAAGTCAAGCATATCTGTACATCCAATCGAGCTCTAGATGAATCACAGTCAGACATCGCTTCAAAATTTTCTACCATGCAAATAATGCTTCCGGGAGACGAGCAAAGCCTATAGCTCCTTCTCATAGGTAGATGCCGCAAGTTCCATACAAGGCATCTTCTTAGACATTTACTAAGTGGTCTCAGCTTGTTCCCCTACTGTTGCCATAGTATTGCACCTACCCCATACAGGCTAGCATTGGAAGTCAGAATGGACAGGTTTGGTCAGGTTTGTCAAGACCAACAGTCTTTAGGACTGGATAGGCATTGAAGGCTCACTAACACTCTCTAGTCCATTCACCATGGGGATCCAATCTAGTCCATCAGCAACCACAAGCTTAGTCAAAGGACTTGCTATACTGTTGCAGTTCTAAATGAACTGCCTACAGTACTGGGCAATCCTAAGAACGATATCATTGTTGCCGTTCTGAACAAACTGCCTACAGTATGTGGCAATCCCAAGAAAGATAACGCTTCTGATACATTCCATGGTCCTGGCCAATTCCTCATGTCTGGGACCTTCGCATCTTCTCGTCTCAACCCGACTTTATAGATCTCATGATCCAGATATAACATTCCAGGGCGGCCAAGCTCACATTTAGCAGCATAGATCTTGTATTGGTATTGTTTGAGCAATCCAGGATGCCGAAATGTTCCACACGCATCACAAAAAGCTTAAAAGGCATCATCACAAACTCAAACAGCTCTTATCTAATTTGAAGTGCAATCTTGTATTGATCCTCGGGGCTTACATCTATCAGATGATATCCGGGTTTTAGATATACCTTGCTAAAGTCCTTATCTCTGCGGCCTACCAATGAGGTCATCTATGCCAGGTATGGGATTAATGTTTTTGATTGTAATGGCACTGAGACCTATAGCCAATGCACATCCACAACTCCCTACATCTTAACCTGCCTTTCTCTGTAAGCTCCTTCAGTTGTTTACGAAGCTTATCAAGCTTCATAGGATACAACCTATAGGTTGTACCCTTTGCGAACTCTTCCTCCATGTGGGACTATTTCTAGAGTATTTTGTACCTCCCTTTTCACAAACCCCGTGAACTCACTCTGAAGGTCTACAAATTCAGGGGTGACTTCCTCTATCAGTTTAGGAACTTCTACACATTACTCCTTCTGTGACATAATTACTAAGCATATACCCTCCTTTTCGTTCTGCTTCCAACAGTTGCAGGACAAAGTCGCTCTCAAACACCCATAGGATTGGACAAGTTGATGACGTTGATACCTCTTGCACATTGACCACCTCGAATCCTAGGCGTTCTGCTTGGCTCTCAAACAATAATTGGCTAAGTAACCCTAGATAACAAAGCAAATCATCATTAAGCAACAAAGAAACCAAAGCGCAGATTACAACCTTCACACAATAGTCACCCGTCATGTGTTTGCACTTGTAGGTACTAATTGTCCTTTCCAACTCCTGCAACTTCTCACTAAGACGCAGTTTCACTACACATGGCTCGACTTGTATAACTCGAAGTGGGGTCTCTAAGTGGATCCAATATCAGTCAAGGCTCTTGCTTAAGCACAGTTCACCTCAACCTCTAATAAGATCCTGGGTCAATCACATCTCGAGTGGGGAGGATCTCATCACCGAAGTGTGACTGCAAGACAGACTGAAGGTCAGCAGCCACCACCACCATGGTCTGTAAGGCCATTGGAGCAACATATTGACCGAACAGTACACTATCAGCTTCACCAGATCATGTAAAAGAGGCTGCATGCACTCTTCATGCTCCCCTTCTTTACCTATGTGGAGAACTTCTTGATGTGGCTTACTTCACCACATCTCATACACGCTCGCCTCATCATTATATCCCGCCAGAGCTCCTTACTAATCCTCTAATACCACCTTGGCTTCCTCACCATTGTCGGCAGAGATGGTTTGTTTCGGGAAGTGCCTGGATCCTGTAGAGGGGTTTGTCCTTTTGTTCCTTTCCTTTGTCTTTACCTGCATCAACGACTCACCCCTCTTCAGTATCATTGCCTTCCTCCTCCTTTGTCAGCCGTAGACCCTCCTAACAGGACCACTAATCTGTTGTGTCATCACTACGAACAAGAAAAGGATGACCATTCCTTCTTTGAGCATAGAGCAGTCCTTCCCTCGATACAGTCCCCTTCCCTGCTTCACTACCAGCATAAGAGATAGAGAGGCAAGGGTATGGAAACAAGGGTTTGCCTCACTAGCTAACAGTTTTCTAATGTCCCTAAGGCGCTTGAATCCCAAATAAAAAGTTGCTCCTGTATATAGTCAACACCTGGCACCTAGATTAGTTTTTCTACCTCGTTTATCAGAGCCTTGACTAACTCAAAACCATGGTTGCCCCGGACCCGGACATCTAGACACCGGCC